CTGCGGTTGTGTGGAAAACAGAAAAAATAAGCCCAGTGTGGCTCCTACTCCAGGGGATGTTCACTGAAAACTTGGAGGAGGGAGGAAGCGTGGGAAGGGTGGGACTTGGGGAAATTAATTGAGGTGCCCTGTGATCACAGTGCTAGGTGCCAGTAAGGGACTTTGGGCTCCAGGGGACACACCACCAGCTTTTTCAGGAAGCAGCAGAGCAGCCCTGTGGTCATGGCCCCTGAACAAGCATTTCCCGTGGTGGTGCTGAGAGACTGGCCAGCCTGCTTACGCCGACCCAGGGTCACACGGCAGACTGAACGCAGGTCTCTGACACTCATTTGGCTGCACAGTAGACACCTGCGGGTGGCCCATCTCAATGTCATGGGATCCATGTACTAGAGCCTTACCTGTGTTTTCCTTACAGAAACTCTTTTATACTTGGTCCTCTGGCTGTTCACCCAGGGGCCTTCAGCACAGCTACAGGAAGGGCAGGAGCCTTAGAGACAGCTGTCCTGATGGCACTAAGAGGTGACAACTCACACTGAGCGCAGAGGCACCATGAAACGTAGACAAATTACCTTATAAAAGCTCAGCAATAAAGGCAAGTGGCCGACCAGGTTTTGGGAGCCCACGAGCAGCATCGCAGCACAGGCTTCATCGGGAAGCTGCTGTGCATTAAGGGGAAGATGCTCACTCCGCTTAAAAGGGCAGCAGAAAGTATAAATCCCTTGGAAAGGATTTTTGGAAAGAACGCTTTCCAATAAATAATTAAAATCTTCAAAATTTTAGTGCTTAAAGGAGCAAGGTTATTATTAATTTATATGGATTCCGTGTTCTTTGGGGGTGCTGGATATGTGCAAACACATGCCGTGTCAGTTACGGTCACCTAAACGTTCATATTTGATTAAGTACTCCTGCCATCAGATGTTCTTGGGAGCACGTTAGGGATCAGTAGTGAGAAGGGGGGACACATTTGGCTTAAATACTGTGGTCCCAACCAAGCAGGAAGACACTGGCCTTGTTGTGAATCCAGTTTTCACTTAGCAGCTCTGTGACTTGGGTGAATTATTAACTCCCGTGGACTTCATTTTCCAGACTAATCAAGTGGAGTGGCAGGGAGATCTGTGTGCATAAACCTCCAGCATCCCGCACAGAGCGTGTGAGGGTGGCTGGTGCGAGATCATACACGTATCTTCCCAACTCTGTGCGCTGACATCATGTTGGTGCTTTGCTATCTGCCGTGGTGGGAGTGTTTATACTGCAGAAATTGGCAAACACTACAAATCAGGGCCTTTTTTCCTGGACAGCCAGTTTTTAAACATTTCCTAGCTCGCAGCGGGTAGGCACCCGGTTGCTGTTCATCTCTACACCGTCGGCTTTCCCTGTCGTCATGTTTGTCCTCAGAATTGCTTTTTGTTTGGATTCAGTGCGTCCTGAATGGGACCCCAGCATCTGTATTTCTAACATTGATACTGGTCCAAGAACCAGACTTTGAGACGCTGGTCTAATTTGTCTAATAAACTAAAGCGTATACCACAAAGCCCTCTGTAAGACACAGAAAAAAAAATCCCACTTTCTGTCTTAGGCAATGGCATTAAAAATGAAATTCATTATTTAAATAGTACTTGGCACATATACCATTTCATTTAATCTCCTTAGGATCTCTATGAGGTAATAATTACTATGAACCCCCATTTTGTAGGTGGAGGAAAGTGAAGCTCAGAAGGGTAAAGTAACATACCTGTGGTCACACAGCTCATAAGCAGAGAAGCCAAGCTAAACTCAGGTCCTCCAGCTCTGGGGCCATGGCATTCATGGTGCAGCTCGTGCAGGGCTCAAGGGCAAGGAGAGGCTGAAATCCAGCATGCCCACGTACGCATCTGCAGGGCTCCCTCAGCCCCAGGGGGCACCTTTTCCTTACCTGCTATTCGGGTGCTGCATAGGCTAGTAGTGATGTTGTCCAGATCCACATCTCTCCTCTCTTCTCTGCAGCCCCGGGGGCTCTAAGCTGGTGGAAAGACAGAGCAAGTGAGAAAGACAAAGCACAGGGAGAGGGCCACGGAAAGACACTCTGTGAAGCATAACCAAGCCTGCACATGTGGGCATGTGGAAGAGGCTGTCAAAGCAGCTGTTCCTGCAGGAGGCCGTGGGGGCAGGTGTCAGCAGGGCGGAGCTAGGGGATTTGGCTGGGAGCAGAGCTACAGATTGCAGTGATGAGACTGCATCTCCTGCCCACCCCTGGCATGTGTGTGGCATGGAAGGTGCCCAGTGGGTGGGGCAATTAGCCTGTATCCCAGGGCACCTGGCTCTGCCCCTCTCTTTCCCTCCCACTGCCTTTCTGCAATTAGATCGCACTGTTAATAGCTGCCAAGCCGCTTTGTTGGACCTGATGAGTTTATTAATTTCTTGGGGGCTGATGGAAGGGTGGGTGGGAAATTCATTTCCTGACTGGAGCTTAGGGGCTAATTAGTCTCTTTGCCACATCCCCAGAGGTGGGGGCTGGGGGAGACGTGTTGCTCAGGCTGTCAGATCGAGCTCTGGGTAAATCTCTTCTATCCCTGGCTTTTGTGGGAACCTATCTGTGGCTTGGGGAAGACCAGGGAGTCTGGGTCTGGGGCAGGGGGTCAGTGAGGGTTAGTCCCTGAGAATGGGAGGTGGGAAAGTGGGGTGCGGGGGAGTGAGGTCTTGCTGGCCCTGTCGGTGTGAAGGACATGTTTAGGGGACAGATGAGAATCTAAGAAGTGCAATCCTGTCCCAAACATCCAAATGCCGACATCCAGTCCAATTCTTGGTGTCCTTCTGTGCAAATCTGGCCCTCTCCTGCCATAGGAGAACCACTGGGAGCAAATTCTAGCCATAGTAAAGGTAGGGAAACCGAGTGTGTAAGAGGAAAACCATTACCCCTGATTGTGGAATAGAAAATCTCCTACTAGATGTTGTTGTTTACAGCTCTGTCTCCCTTCGAGAAAAAGAATGGGGTGCCAGACACAAAGTAGAAGCTTGATGATCAGAATCTGAGTGTGCCGAGAGGGGAGGAGGAGGAGGCTGAGGCAGTAGCCCGAGCTGGTTGGACCCTTTAAGAGACAGTAGGTGCTCCAGAGAGACAGAGGAGCTCCCGTGCTTACTGCCCAGGCCTCACCGACAGCAGCAATCTGCCGAGGAGCAGCGATGGCTTCCCTGTCCCCGAGCAGAGTGCTGGCAGGTGAGCAGAGGCAGGCCAGCCCCACACAGGCTACTTGGGGAGACGGACAGGTAAACAAAAACGGGCAGTAGGACAGTGTCAGAGCCAGACAGGATGCCATGGTCGTGAAGGCTCTTTGGGGATGATTTATCTGGGGCTAAGAGCACAGAGGTTAAAGTCCAGGCAGTGTGACCTTGGGTCGGCGGATGGACTCATTTCTTTTGGCGTCACTTTCTTTCTCCGTCCAATGAGACGTGGATGTGCATGAGACACTGTAAATAAAAATCGAACACAAGCATGTCCAGGGCCATTCTGCCCTTGCAGAAGCTGATGCACCCAAGTGGCATCCTCACAGAGGCTCGCAGAGAAGCGTTTAGTCACCGAGCCTGTGGCAGATGAAAGGCTCCCCTGTAGAAATCATCAGGTGACTGGGACTGCTCGGACCTGGAGGCCTGCAGGAGCCCCCAGCTGATGGTCCAGGGTGGTCCTAGCTTGGCCCTCCCTTCTCCAAGCTCCAGACCCCATGATGTCAGGGAGGTGGTTACTGCGCGCCCCCCACCACCCCGACCCTCTGGCCCCAGGGGCTGCCTGTGCGTTTCATTATTGTTGTGGAACCTTCCTCAAGAGGAACCTAGAGCCCTGCTCTGCTGGGAAGAGCAACATGGTATCCACAGAACGTGTGAGGGTTTTCCAGGGAAGCGGCCTGGCAGAGGCGGATGTGTGCAGCTAGTAGGAATATGTTGGTATCACACACACACACACACACACACACACACACACACGGTTCCACCAGGCAAACAAACCATCTGATGTGTGCAGCTAGTAGGAATATGTTGGTATCACACACACACACACACAAACACACACACACACACACACACACACACACACACACTGTTCCACCAGGCAAACAAACCATCTGAAAACCCAATGATACTGAGTTTAGGTTTGGGTGACTTTCTAGAACTGAGTAACTTGTGGACTTTTTTCCCCTAGAAGTGAAGACAATGGGGAATGGGAAGGAAAATACTGTTTATTGACTCTCAGGTTAAATACATTCTTAGAATGACCCAAGGAAGTTTCTGTTATTATCCCCATTTTACAGATGAGGAAACATGCTCATAGAGGGTCAGTAACTTTTCTGAGGTTGCCCTGTTGAGATCCGTGCTCCTGGGTCTAGCTGGTAATGTGATGTCAGTCAGTACATCCATGACCTCAGATGAGAAGAAGGCCAGGCAAACATTGCCATCCCCACTTACAGGAGGGGAAACTGAGGACTTGGAAAGATTTAAGTAACTTGCCTAAGTTCTTGAAGGTAGCCCATGAATCAACCAAGACTGGAACCTGGACCCTGTCTTCTGGTTCATTCATTCACTGAGCCATTCAGCCGCTGCTGAAGGGCCTCTTACATGCCCTGTTTACTCTCTTATTTATATCATCAGAATTATTGACGGCAGGAGGGAGCAGCTGAGCTCCATGGCTCATTTCTGCCTCATGATAATGGGGTGCCACCTGCCGCATTCCCTCTGCATGAGAGAACTTCCCAAAACTGAGTTCCGTTCCTGATGCGTTCTCCCGCTTTCCTCTACCAGCAATCCTGTCTTCCTCCCCCTCCTTCCACAGGTCCTTTCCCTGCTTCCCAGCCCAGGCCTGCTGCTCCATGCCCCACATCCCTCCCACCTCATGGGACTCACAGGTAGCCCACCCAGCATCAGGGGACTGGCCTCTCAGCCCCTTCCTACCCTGGAGGCGTCCAGGACCTCTGCAACCCAGCCCGCAGCTTCTTCCCCATGATTCCTTCCCAGCCCTCTCTCCTTGGTCTCCTCAGATCGGCCAGTGGCACGTGGCAAATGGCCTCAGCATGGACAGCCGCCTCTACGCCTCCAACATCTCCGACAGTCTCTTCAACACCACCCTGGTTGTCACCACCATCCTGGTAAGCGGGGCGCCCCGGGCCTCCCAGCTGCGGCTCCCCAGGGCACCTCCTCCAGCTCCAGGCGCTCACGGGCTTCCCAGAGAACAGAAGATCAGAGCTCTAATCACAGCGAGGCCAATCTATGACAGCATAATTAAACTCAAGTTGCTGTTTCATATGGAAATGATGTTTGATGAATTCCAAAGCAGCTGGGAAGAGGGATGGGGTGGAGAGACACCACAATCTGTGGCTGCCTCTTCCAGGGACACCCCGACAGCCCAGGCAGCTGTGCGTGGCCAAGGAGAAGGGCACCTTATGACAAGGCGGGAGAAGCTCAGCTGGGCACTGGACCCAGCCCACCAGGGTGACCCCTACTCTTTCCCAATAGCCTACTTGCTTGGTGCCCATGTACAAAATGCGCCCCCAGGGGACACTCAAATTGTGATGGGCTGTCATGGTCTCTTTCTTAATTTCCAGATGGTCAAAAGAAAGTTCTCAATCCATAGAGCAAGAGACTCTCTGCTTTTTATTTGATTCAGTTCGCTTCAACAGTTACCAAGCCCTTCTGCCCATGTGCCAGGCGCTGTGCGCCTCCCCAGAGACACAAGGAGGTCACGACTCAGTCGAGAGCATTCTCAAGTGCATTCCTGGCCAAGGTGCTTTCCCCCCTCTGAAGACCTCATGTTTTAAAAGATTTGCCAGTTAAACCAACTGCACGCATTAAACAATAATTAGTTTGTTCCTCTCCCCCCACTCCCGTTTTAACTAATCAAAAGCATATTTCCCCGCCTGGCACAGCATTTTACCAGCAGGAGATCAGTAGTGTTGCCACACTGATACAATTCCAGCCCAAAGCAGAGACTTGATGTATTAGTTAGGCTGCTCAGCCTTACCGTTAGAAATGCGCGAGGTTTGCAAATGCATCTGTTTCATCTAGATTTCCTGAGATAAAAATAAAGAGCTCAGGGGCATCCATCATTACCTTCAGGGGACCAGGGACCCTGGACTGGAGTTACTGATCTAGTGTGAACAGAGTGCGATAAACGCCAGGAGTACCGGGCACTGTGGGGGTCGAAGGAGAAGTCCCACCCCACCAGGGAGGTCAGCAAAGCCTTCAGAGAAGAAGGGGCATTAGATATGGGCTCCCAAAGACAGGGAGAGGTGGGGAGGGAGGAGTGAAGGAAGAAGAGTGTTGTAGGGTGTTGGAGAAGCACTGAAAAGCACAGGATTTCCATCGTAGAGAAGGGAAAGGCATGCAGCAGACAAGTGGGTTGGGTCCTTGGTGCTTAGGAACTTGAACACTGGGCTGTGGGTTTTCCCTTCATTTTGTAGAAGAGTCGCTGAATATTTTCATTCATTCATTTGATGAGTATTTGGGAGCTTGCTGCATGCCGGGCACTGTGTGAGGTACTCAGGAATAGAGCTGGGGAGGAGGATTTGTGGGTGCTGAGAGCACAGGCAGTCTGAACACCCAGGTGGTCAGCGTGGGCCACCCTGTGAAGGGGAATCTGAGCAGAGACCTGATAGGGTGGGGTGAGAGCCAGGTGGCTGGCTGGGAGGAACATCCTGGGCAGAGGGTGCAGAGCAGAGGACGGAGAGAGCAGGTCCAGCTCCTGGGTGTTAGTTGCTTCCCATCTCAGCTCCAAGCCTGACTTACCTGAGCCAAGGTGAACGTGTCCGAAGGATGGGAGGGTCAGCTGTCCTCCCCCCCCACCCCCCACCGCCAGCTCCATCTGGAAGGCCTGGCTGGGCTGGGGCCAAGCAAGGTGCCATCCTGGCCAAGCTGTGGATAGGCGGCACGCAGCACCATTGCAGGGACTGCCCCTCAGCGTCTCTACCTCTGTAGTACTTCCCAAGTCAGTCCCCTGCTCTCTGCCCATCCCCAAAGTCCATGCCCTGCCTGAGGCCCATGTAGCCATGTCCCCTGAGCTGTGGCATGGCCTCCTTAAAGGCTCCCTTCTCCCTTGCTCAGTCCATCCCCCCACACTCCCCTCCCTCTGTTGACATGGATGTTCTAAAATCAGAATTGTCCTGTCACGTCCTTACTTCCAAACCTCCAGTGCTTCTCAGGACCCGCCACCCCTGAGCTTGGACGATAAACCTCTTGTAATCAGGCCCGGTCATGCCTGCTTCCTCTCCATGCAGCTCGGGGTCTAGCAGTACTGCACAGGCCAACACCCCTCACTGTATCATGCCATTCCCTGCCTCTGCACATGCTGTTCCCTCTGCCCAGAATCCATTCCCCGAATTCCTATTTCCGACTAGAAGTGCCTATGCACCCTTCCAAGCCCTGCTCAGACGTCACCCCTTCCATGAAGCCCTCCCTCATCTGACTCCTGCCCTCTCCCTGTCTCTAGCAGTTTGCACATACCTCTGTTGTGGCCTCTCTTTCCTACTAGATGTTGTTCACAGCTCTGTCTCCCCTTCGAGAAAAAGAATGGGGTGCCAGACACAAAGTAGAAGCTTGATGATCAGAATCTGAGTGAAGGAATTCCTTCCTACTGGTAAGGGATGGCCCTTAAAAGGGTTTGAGCAGGAGATCACTGCTTGTTCTTCCAGCCTCTCAGGGTCTAGAGTTGCACACTGCTCAGAGCTGTGGCACAGAGGCACAAGGACACTGAGACCACAGAGTCACACGAGTGTGCGTGTACATGTGCATGTACGCACTGTTGTTCACATACACGCTTGTGTCTTCAGGAGGGGTAGGGACAGGGCACTTTTGTGTTAGGTGACATTTACCAACATGGTAAGTGCAACTCAGACAAAAGGAACAGAAGTCTGTGCACGTGTGTCCAAGATGGCTGCTAATACAAGTTGGTAACTCTTACCAGGAATGATTATCTTAATTTAGTCCCTGGTGACCATTCGTGGATTACCCTTGGCAAATGGTAATCCTCAACAATTTATCCCTTAAAACTCAGCACATATCCCTGTTGTCTCCTGCTCCTGTCAGGGCACACCTGGGACACGGGAATGATTTATTGGTTAATACCAGCAAATGCATGGAATTAGTGGCAGCTCACACTCCACGAACACCTACCCATGTCAGGCCCCAAGTTAAATATCTGCCTACATTACCGCCTTCCGTTCTTCCAGCACTCCACCAGGACGGGGGCTCCTGCTGCAGGCCAGCACTCAGCCCCCACATTTTCCAGGGTGTCAGCCAACCCCCGACATGTTGGCTTTCACACAGGTCTCCTGCCTCTAAGACTGGCCTTTGTATACTTCCTTTGAATATGTCAGTGCCTTTTATGTGAACTCAAGAGGGAGAAGAATTTTGTAATGCTCCTCAGGATAATTGCAGATACCCTGGGATGTTGCCAAGCCCTGTCCATTTCAGCATTTGCCACTCACACGATCCACAAGTGCTTCATGCTGGAGCCAGGCAGGGGCACCAGCAAAGGGGAAGAGAGCCCAGGCCCCATGTGCGTTCAGCCTGGATGCAGGCACAAAGCGACACGTGCTGGAGGGCAGCTGTGTGGGCCTGGCGAGCACAGTAGGAGTTCTGAGAAGTGGGTTCCATCAGAGGATGTGATGCGACCCCAAAGACCGAGGAGAGTTAGGTCAGGCCGAACAAGGGGCAGGAGTGCAGTCGGGGCCGAGAAACCTTGAGCCAAGGACAGCACGTGCGCAAGGCAGCGAGTCTAGCCCACCTCGTTAGCATGTCAGTGGCCTTGAGCCTGAATCAGAGCCACATCACCTTCGTCTTGCAGACCCCCAGCTGCCATGCACAGACGTCTGCCTCCCCCTTCCCACTCCATCACACCCATGCAACCACTCACCCGCCTCCCCTCTGACCTCGGGTCTGGCTGGCTTCCACAACCCAGGAGCCCTCTCCAGCTTGAGCCCAGCGAACAAGTATCTTGGCGCTTCCCTCTCTTAGCTACTAGAATTGTCTCTTGATGCTCAGCCCTCTCACCTCATGCCTGTTCCCAAGTTCACTTGTCCTTCTGGCCCTGCTCCCAGCCACCCACGTGCGCTCAGCCTCCGGACTTGGGCTGTGCCATCCCTGTGCTCACCCCTTGCTCGCCTCTCGTGTTCCCCAAGCAGTTGTGCAAAGCCTCGCACACCAAACCTTCAGTCCAGCCTGCCCCCAACACAGCTCTGGGGGCTGCCCCGGGCTCCCTCAGCTGTGGCTTCCTCACCTCTTCTCTGTACCCAAATCCTCCTCACCTCCAGGCCCTCTTCCCAGCTTCACACTCGCCTGACTCCGTCTCCTTCCACTGGCTCCTGGGGCCCTGCAGCACCCGCCAGCATCCCATTCCTTCTTTTTCTAGTCTCTCCTTTTCAAAAGGAATTCCTCCCTTCCCACCTGGTCCCCCCGATCCTCAGTCACCATCGCTACCACCTCACCCACACCCTGCTGCCCTCCCAGCTACTCTCCAATCTAACAGGTCATGGACTGGTGGGCACTTGGGGCTCTTCCGGCCCTGGTGTTTGCAGATGGGACCGAAGCTCGAAGAAAGACGTGGTTGTTAGCTTGTGGCTGGAGAAGCCATCTGCCAGCCTTCCCTTACCTCCTAACTTCCAGAATGCTGGTCTACTCTCGTGCACGCCCCAGTCCTCGCTGAGCTCTGCCGTCCCCACTGAGTCTGCCCTCGAAAGCTCATCAGTGCCACCTGGCCCAGATGCCCCTTCCAGGCCCTGCCTCGTCTCTGTAGGCGAATCTGCATTCTCCTTTTGAACCCCTCCCTCTATGACACTCAGGCCGCCTTTTCTGCCTCCTTTGTCTTCTTCTGTGGCTGCTCTTCCCTCTCCCAGGCTCTACGGTCAGGGTCTTGTCCCTCTTCTGTCCTCAGTCCCCCCCATCGGTTGCCTCGCCTCTCCTGCAGCTCCGACCACCACCTGTACAGAGGCCTCCCAGTCTCCGCCCCCAGTCTTGTCCTCCCTCCATATTTTAAAACATTCAGTCAGGCGTTTCCTCCTGGATAACCTACCAGCACCTCAGGTGCAGCACATTACAGATCCTCTCCCCTTCCAAACCATCCGTGGTGGTGGTGACGCCATCCCTGGTGGCTCCAGGGGTCTGAGGACCCTGCCCTCTGTCATCAAGCCTGCCCCTGTCTGTGTCTCTGGCCAGCTCCCTGAAATCCAGCCTGAGCCAGGCTCTTGGGTCGGGACTCGGCGTCTTGTATCAGCCCCCAGCCTCTCTCTTATTCCTTAATATACTTTACTCACATCCTTAAGGCCCTAAAACCCTCTGTGCATCCCCGCTCTATGTGGATGATGGATGTGCACATCATATTGGCGTCCAAGGCCAAGCTGGCCCTAACCCATCTTTCTAGATGTATCCTCCCTCCAGCCCCCACAGCCCACCCTCCAACGAAACGGAGGGTCCATGGCTCCCCAGATAGGATGTGCTCATTTTTGCGCAGGAATAGGGCCCTGCCCATGACTCCCTCCATTCACACCACTTCCATCCGTCCGTGTTCTGTCGTCTTCTGGAGCCCAGCCTGGATCCCACCTCCCGCACGGATGCTTCCCTGACTGTGTCACCAGGGAGACCCCTTCCACCTTCCCAGCGCTCTCATGGGTGCACAAGCTGTGTCTTGGGTCGAGTAGTTCAGTGCATGCTCTCACCTCGCCTGCTGTATCGTCAGCATCCTGGTATCTCATAATGCCCAGCGATAGGCCTGTGGGAAATAAAGGAAGGGATGGGATGGGGGTGGGGTCCACAATGACTCTAAACAGGGTGGAGAGGCTTCAGCTTAAACCTCTGGGTGGTGGGGGTGATGTGGGGCAGGGCCTTGTGAGCTCCCAGGAGAGACGTGCCTTGAAGTTGGGGAGGGAAGCTAATTGCCACTTCCAACATAGCCCCTCCTCAAGCCTCTTCCCTCCTACCCCATCTTCTCCCCAACTGCCTGCACCCCGGGCCCCCATCATGTGTGGCTGGGACACCAGGGCTAAGACGAGAATGACAGCTGCCCAGTTTTGCTGCAGGAAAACCCGTATCTAATGCTGAAGGGGAACCACCAGGAGATGGAAGGCAATGACCGCTACGAGGGCTTCTGTGTGGACATGCTCAAGGAGCTGGCGGAGATCCTGCGGTTCAACTACAAGATCCGCCTGGTCGGGGATGGAGTGTACGGTGTTCCTGAGGCCAATGGCACCTGGACAGGAATGGTCGGGGAGCTGATCGCTAGGGTAAGGAAGGAGCAGCGACTGCTGCCTGAGGGCGGGCTGGGGAAGGAGGTGGAAGGGCAGAAAGCTGCGCTGTGTGCTCGTGAACCCTCCGTTTGTTGTCGGCCAATCATTCGTGCGTTTTTCATTTGTTTGTCCATTTATTGCACAAATCTTTACTGAGCCAGCCCCAAGCCTGGTGATACACACTGGTGAAGAATTCCATAGTCCCCACCCTGTGGCTTTTCCATTCTGGCACCTGGAACAGGTTATGGATGCTTTGACCAACTAATACAGCTTAGAGAATTGGGGTTCCATTTCTGGATAATCCAGGTGATTTTGCTTTGCTCTGATAATTTTCTTGCTCATCAGCACCCTGGTCAAGTTTGGGCAAGCCCCGGGAGAGTAGAACACACCCACATCAGCTGACTTTGACACCTCAGAGATGCTGTCAAGGGAGAGCTGGTTAAATGACATGGGAAAGGAGATCAACTGTGAGAGGAATCAGTCACAGCTACAGTTATTTTGTTGCTTGTATTACTTGCTGCTCTGTGTGTTTAGAGACCCAGGGCCAAGGTGCACTTGCACAGGCTGTAGATTTTCAGGGTGAATGTGGAGACTTGATGAAAATGCAGGTGAGCATCATAGAATGTCAATTATCTGTCCAGTTAGAGCAAGAAGGTAGAAAGTTCTTCTAGGGGAAAGCTCTTGTTTTCTTGGTGCACAGTATTAACATCTGTAAAAATTAATTATGTTGTTACTAATTCACTGTGCCCATTTCCATAACTTGGTTTTTATGGTCAGAATAGGTGATAGGTACCTGAGGCAGAGAGCACAGAACTCGGTTCTTAGCCTGACCTTGAACCAACCCCTTTCCCAGTCTGGTTTCCAAGTGTGGAAGGCGCCCCTGCACAGCTCCTGCAGCCTCCCAGCACATGCAGTGTGCAAGGAGCTGTACAAACATTATCCCAGTTCCTCTGTAAACATACCTTGCAGCTAGTGATCCTCCTTTCAGAGAGCTTGAATGACTTGTCTGACGCCACACAGTCAGCGTGAGAAAGGGCTGGGAAGCGAACCCAGATCTGTCTCACTCCGGAGCCCACGTTCTCCCCAGCACAGCACACTGCCTCAGCTGACTTGGATGCCCCGAGAAAGGTGCCCATAAGTCCAGGCCTTGCCTTCGCTCCTTCCTTCTGACCCTCCCTCCCTCCACAGCTCTTCCCTTCCTTCCCTTTCTTTTTCTCTTTCCTTCCTTTTCTCCATTCCCTTATCTATTGAGTTGATAGGATTTTCACCCTTTATATATACCAAACATGGGATATTTTCAAAATCCTAGTTGTCACGGATAAAAATGTTAGTTGGGATAGTAAATAAGCAAACCTTGATGATGCGTTGTGAAAGTTCTAGATAGACAAGAGCTTGGAAAAGGTATTTAAGAGCCAAGGCGGGAGGGAGGGTGCGTCGGAATTTGCCTGGCAGCATAAACAGCATTTGCAGTGGTCCAGAGGGGATGCAGTAAGACGTGTTCAGGGAACTGTGAACTGTCCAGCGTGCTAGAGCCCACCATGAGCTGGCTCACTGCAGTGGTGCAGCTCAACAGTTAAACCACAGAAGCTGAAATGCAAGGTCTTGCCCTCCCTTCTTACAGACAGCTCACTTACGTTGAGCCCGTTTCTTCAGCCTCCTTGGGCCACCTGGTGACTGGTTGGGTGACTTCAGGGATATCAGAGTGAGTGCACAGCCATCCCCTTATCAGCCCCCTAAGGAGCTGTGACATGGGCTGGCAGGACGTGGAGAGGAGTGCGGGACTCCAGGGCACACAGCTACACAGGGCCTGACTTGGGCCGTCAGAGATCTTAAAATCGCCCCAGATCAGCTTTCAAGCCAAAACACTGCTGCTTTGGTCCCATCAACACTAAGCTAGATAGTATTAATTAATTAATTAATTAACCTAGTAATTCAGTAAGTACTTATTGAATACCTTCCACTATTCCAGACATTGGAGATACAATGGGGAACAAATATGGACACTGCCTTCATGACTCTTACCAATGAGAGACAGATATTAATGAATGATCACATTAATGTGTAATTTCCGACTGCATTCAGCACAAGGGAGGCAAAGCAGAGAAGCTGTGAGACAGCGTCTAGAGGGGACAGGATCCAGTCTTGCGACACGGGGACAGGGAAAGGAAGCCGTTCCGTGGGGCATGAGGTTGGCACTGACAGCAGAAGAATGGGAAGAGCATTTCAGCCAGAAGGCTGACTGAATGCCACTGGCGTTGATCCTGGGCAGGAGTGGGTAATGCTGGGACCCCGTTGTCCCCAGATCTGATGCTTTGATGTATCTACCAGGTGTTCACCTAAAATCACAATACTCCTAAAGGCCCGGATCCCTCCTGGGGGCCCCTTCCCTAAGCTGCATAGGAAATGTCTCAGAGGAACATTTCAGTGTCAGAGCTACTGAATGTCCCACTTGAAAGATCACTCAGAGGTCAAACACCACTGCCTGTCACTTATATACACGAGGACGTGGAGGCTCAGGGAGGTTAAGTGACCTGCCAAAGATCACATAGCTGGTACTCTTGGAGCAACATGTAAGCCCTGGTCTGTCTGACTTCCGCACTCAGGGTCTGAGAGAATACAAATCTTTTCTGTTTGTTTGCTTTATTCCATTTTTTTGTTAAAGTGTCATTGATATACAATCTTACAAAGGTTTCACATGAACAACGTTATGATTCAATATTCACCCATGTTAAGTCCTCACCCCCATTGCAGTCACTGTCCATCAGCGTAGTAAGATGCTATTACTTGTCTTATTAGAGTCATTTCTTGTCTTCTCTGTGCTGTACTGCCTTCCCCGTGACGTACCTATATCGTGATTGCGAATTATAGTGCCCCTTAATCCCCTTCTCCCTCCGTCCCCACACACCCTCCCCAACCCCTTCCCTTTGGTGACCACTAGTCCTTTTGTGGAGTCTGTGAGTCTGCTGCTGTTTTGTTCCTTCAGTTTTTGCTTTGTTGTTATACTCCACAGATAAGTGAAATCATTTGGTACTTGTCTTTCTCTACCTGGCTTATTTCACTGAGCAAAATACCCTCTAGCTCCATCCATGTTATTGCAAATGGTAGGATTTCTTTTCTTTTTATGGCTGAATAATATTCCACAGTACATATATACCACGTCTTCTTTATTCATTCATCTATTGATGGACACTTAGGTTGCTTCCATATCTTGGCTATTGTAAATAGTGCTGTGATAAACATAGGGGTGCATATGTCTTTTAAAATCTGGGATAGTGTTTTCTTTGGGTAAATTCCTAGGAGTGAAATTACTGAGTCCAAATGGTGTTTCTGTTTTTAGTTTTTTGAGGAACCTCCATATTGCTTTCCACAATGGGTAAACCAATTTACATTTCCACCAACAGTGTAGGAGGTTCCCCTTTCTCTGCATCCCTGCCAGCATTTGTTGTTGCTTGTCTTTTGGACGCTGGCCATCCTAACTGGTGTGAGGTGGTATCTCATTGTGGTTTTAATTTTGCATTTCCCTGATAATTAGTGATGTGGAGCATCATTTCATGTGCCTGTTGGCCATCTGAATTTCTTCTTTGGAGAAGTCTGTTCAGGTCCTCTGCCTATTTTTCAATTGGGTTATTTGTTTTTTGGGTTTTGAGGCATGTGAGTTCTTTATATATTTTAGATGTTATCCCCTTATCAGTTAAGTCATTTACAAATATATTCTCCTATACTGTAGGATGCCTTTTTGTTCTGCTGATGGTGTCCTTTGCTGTACAGAAGCTTTTTAGTTTGATGTAGTCCCACTTATTCATTTTTTATTTTGTTTCCCTTGCCTGAGTAGATGTGTTCAGGAAAAAGTTGCTCATGTTTATATTCAAGAGATTTTTGCCTATGTTTTCTTCTAAGAGTTTTATGGCTTCATTTCTTACATTCAGGTCTTTGGTCCATTTTAGTGTACATTTGTCTTTGGAGTTAGACAGTAATCCAGTTTCATTCTCTTACATCTAGCTGTCCAGTTTTGCCAACACCAGTTGTTGAAGAGGCTATCTTTTCCCCATTGCGTATCCACGGTTCCTTTATTCTGTATTAATTGACTATATAGGTGTGGGTTTATATCTGGGTTCTCTATTCTGTTCCACTGATCTGTGGGTCTGTTCTTGTGCCAGTACCAAATTGTTTTGATTACTGGGGCCTTGTAGTAGAGCATGAAGTCAGGGAGCATAATCCCCCCTCGCTTTATTCTTCCTTCTCACGATTACTTTGGCTATTCGGGGTCTTTTTTGTGGTTGAGGTTCCATATGAACTTTAGGACTATTTGTTCTAGTTTGTTGAAGAATGCTATTGGTACTTGATAATGATTGCATTGATTCTGTAGGTTGCTTTAGGCAGGATGGCCATTTTGACAATATTAATTCTTCTTATCCATGAGCACAGAATGTATTTCTGCTTTTTGGTGTCTTCTTTAATTTCTCTCATGAGTGTCTTGTAGTTTTCAGAGTGCAGGTCTTTCACCTCCCTGGTTAGGTTTATTTGTAGGTATTTAAATCTTTTTGATGCAATTGTAAATGGAGTTGTTTTCCTGATTTCTCTTTCTGCTAATTCATTGTTAGTATATAGGAATGCAACAGATATCTGTGTATTAATTTTGTATCCTACAACTTTGCTGAAGTCTCTTATTAAGTTCTAATAGTTTTTTTGGTGGAGTCTTTAGGGTTTTCTATATATAATATCATGTCATCTGCAAACAGTTTAACTTCTTCCTTATGAATTTGGATTCCTTTTATTTCTTTGTGTTGTCTGATTGCCGGGGCTAGGCCCTCCAGTACTATGTTGAATAAAAGTGAGAGCGGGCATTCTTGTCTTGGTCCCAATCTTAGAGGAAAAGCTTTCAGCTTTTGGTTATTAAGTACGATGTCAGCTGTGGGTTTGACATGTATGGCCTTTATTGTGTTGAGGTCTGCACCCTCTATACCCATTTTGTTGGGAGTTTTTTATCATGAATGGAT